CATTCGTGTGAAGATGAGTTAGCTTATCCATTAATATCTAATCCAAGAAGGCTTTTTCATTCAAGATACCAAGCATGATAGAATTACACTACTTCAACAGACCAAGATTAAGTCAATCGAACCTCTTTACGATTTCTATGTATTCTTATTGTATTTTTATTCTATAAATAGATAGCTTTAGGCATTAAAAAAAAGAATGGGCTTGGGGTGATAGACTAATCCTTTGTTTTAGGTTTTCTTTTTTTACATTCTAGCTTTTCAAATTCTTTATAATTTTCCTTAAATCAATTTTGGTTGGGATGATAGACCAACCATAATTCTTTGGAGTTTTCTTTTACATTTTCAAGTTCTTAAGTTTTTGTTACTTTCATTTCAGTTTATTCAAGTTTGATTTTACTTTTTAAGTTAGTTTAAGTTTTTGTTTTGTTCAATTTCAATTCAAACTTACTTTAATTCTTGTTATTGCTTTCTTCTTCACCTAAAATTGTGCTTTTTGTTTAAGTTACATTTGATTTAGGTGCTTCATGCTTTTTAAGTTTTGTTAATGCTTTAATTTTATATTTGCATGTTTAAATTGCCTAAATTAATTCAGTTTGCATGCTATTAAGTTTAAGTTAATTTGGTTCTAAGTTAACTTGCTCTTTTTAAGTTTAATCCCTCTTAATTTGATTAGATTGCATGTCATTTATGTTATCTGATTTTTTATTGTTTATTCAAGCTTAGTTCTTACATGTTTAAATTTGTTTAATTAAAAATTATTAGTAATTGCATGTTCTTAAGGTTGATTGGTTTAACTCAACTCTATTTTTTGCATATTTAAGTTTAAGTTAAGTTGATTATGCTATTGCATGTTAGTTAAGTTTTTACATGTTCTTAAAGTTTAATTTGCTTTCGGTTTTGGTTAATTTAAGTTAGTTACATTATGTTTTAAGGTTAATCTATATCTTTGTATATTTATTTGTTCAATTAAGTTGTTGTTTTAGTTATTGCATGTTAACTTTAATTTAAGCTTGTTTAATTTAGTTTATTGCATAAGCTAATTTTCTATTCTAATTAGTTAAGTAGTTTAATTTAGTTCTTGCATATTAGTTTCGATTTGTCTGGACATAATTACAGTGTTATACTTTTGGTACTTAGTATTAACTCTATTTATAATCTCCATGGGAATGAACTTTGCTCACTACTTTATTACTTGTTACAATCCATGCACTTGCAGTAGTAATCATTCATTTACTTTTTGAAACAATCTAATGCTTTAAACTTGCAAAAATCAAATAGACATAATCAAAACATGTGTAATAATTGATAAATATGATAAAATATTAACCTTTACTCCATGCCATTACATTACATTCATTATAAATGTCGAAATGTATCCATTATAATATAAGTTCAACCCTAGTTCATTTATCAAATGATTATTTTTCCTTTTTCCCTACGAGATAATTTTTACATAATGATAGATTAACCTTATCAATAAGGTCTAGTAATCGTTATTGTGCTAATCTATTTATTCGTTATTAACCTATATGGCCAAGTTTATTATGCCAAACATTTCAATTAATATTGGCATCAGAAAAAAGTTATAAAGGAAAAACTATAATTATTTAGGTCATTGTATGGAACAATATCTAAAACAATAAAACCATTCGATAAGTATCCAGATCCACAATGAATTGTTTCCAAAAATAAATTCAAAATAGTATTATTAAAATTCATAACAAATCTTATATTAAGAAGATCAATGACAAAAATTAAATTCCATCAAATATATGTTAAGAGCAAACAAAACATCATATAAGATAAGGGTTTTTCCACCACTTAAAATCAACTTGCAAATGTCAATGCCTTTTACTTCAATCCTTAAATTATTTCTTACATAAATCTATTTTGATCTTGCCTCATATTACATGGTCTGTGGCCCCTGAATCTTTTCTGGCTTGTTACATATACCAGTAAAGTAACTCTCATTGTCATAGTTAAAGCCTTAACTTTAGCTTTTTTCTTCTTATAGTGAGCTTTAAGAACTTTTACCTTACCATTTTGACCACTTTTTGATTTTTTAAGAGCTTTCTTTTTATTCTCACTATATGAGTTATGTTTGAAACTCAAAGTCCATTAGTCCTTATACTAGCCATATATATATATATATATATATCAATATTTAGCTTAGACGCCTCAATGTGTTCTTTCAATTACAAATGACTTGAAGCATCATCAAGTGTCTTAATGCTTTCATTGTGGGTTAGGTACATTTTTATGTGTTCCCAGTTATATGGCAAGGATCAAATGGCAACCTAGACATGTTGTTCATTTGTCAGAGTGTGACTAGCCTCCTTAAGTTCACTAATCATGTTTAACGTTTGTCTTACATGTTACCTTATATTATTATTGGGGCATAGCTTATAAATGTTAAACTTAATAGTGAATCGCCTAAGTTTGGTAATCGAGGTTACACCAAACATCTCTTTTAGCAATATCATGCTTTATGAATTCATGCATGATATCATTCTCCATACTACTTAATAATGTAATCTGAGCAATTGAGTTTTTCTCTTTCCAAATTTCATAAACTATTGGTCTCTTCTATGATGGGGATGTATTCCTCTCCTTAAGCTTCATTAAGATAATGTTAAAACCTTCAAAAACACTTGTTCTTCTAAAACATATTGGATTTTTATACTCAAGATTTTATAGTTATCCTAATTTAATTTTTACTTAGATGCATAAGCTATTTTCAAAGGATAATTCTATATTGAGAGACATGCATTAATTAATGTCTAGGATAACATGTATCTAGTTTGTTACAATTCAAAAATTAAATCAATGATAATCATTCTCAAAAATGAAACCAAAAGCTCACTAACTTCACAAAAAAATTCAATTTCTATGCTTAATTATCATTAATTCATTTCATTGTACAAAACAAAATTTCTAAGGTAACTCATTTATTAATATCTTAGAACTCTCACTAACCTTAAGGTTACTTTCAATCAATAACATAAATTAATAGATGTCTCATAGATAAGTGTCATATAACATAATTGAATAAACTAGTTTCATAATTAACTATATGAAATATTTATTGAACTATATTTCTAATCAATACGTATAACTTATCTAGTGACTGAGATGGAATTCATAAATTTCTTTGATAGTTTCACATTCTTATTAGCCATTTATGGAGATCCAAAAATTGTCTTTCACTATGAAGACTTAGACCAATAAAGAGAGTCATAGTCCTCTTTGTCCATTTCCCATATATTCTTTCACAAAATTCTTTACCGAAGTTGCATAAGTAGTATGTTTCCTCTTGTTAAACATCCAAAGATCTTCGAGAAAATTCTTTTATCTAGTGATAATAAGTGCATTTATTCAACATCATGTATATATTTAGATCCTCCTTATATGCATGTAGCCATATAAAATTAACTCTTGAATTTTATTATTAACATTAATGATATATCTCGCGATATCATCATCATTTGGATCCATTAAGTATTATGCTAATTTAGTTAGCAGCTTTATGGCTCTCTGCAATTGCACCTGAATCCTTATAACAATAAGAATCCTAACGATTACTATCATGAATTTTTGTAACCGATACGAAAATCTCATGAAAACATAATTAACACAAGTCTTATAATGATTAAATCATATTTTAATCATTCTTATGCTATTTATACTCTTAAAATTAATCAAGAACACTTAAATTTTGAAAATTATTCATTTTTAAAGAAAAATGTTACAGAGTAGCTAACTATCACGATGGGCAATCGATTGCTTTTTTTGTTTTACAATTTGTTCGAAAAAATTATGTAGAGTAGTCAAATGCTTTTATATAAGGCAATTGAATTACTAGTAAAAAATGCATTGTGTTTTAAATTTTTCAAAGGGCAATCAACTGCTACCAGAGGACAGTTGACAGCCTATCAAAATTTTATCATTAATTTCAAAAATTCATCTAGGATAGTCAAATGCAGTTGAACATTCAAATCCCCAAGTTTTAAAAACCGAAAACTAAATCTAAATGTTTCAAATAATAATGACAACTTGCATGAAACATCCCAAAATATTCACAATAACTTTCTATCAACAAAATTACACACATTTGTGTAATTCTCCATAGATTTTCGAATGTTTTCTAGTAAGAACTTATGAACATGTCAAATTCATAGTGTTTCGATATGAACATTGAAACAAACCAGTAATCAAGCCTAATGACTTTGATACCAATGATGAGATAATGAGATATGTGTACGATTATCGATATAATCAAATATTAATTATGAGTTAAAACTTACAAGATTTGCAAAAACTTAGCAAAAGATTACCGACTTAATTCACTAATTGAAAATACAATCATATATTTAAAAATTATTCATCATCATAAGATAAATCCTTAAACAACGAAGCAAGGAGTACATGAAAAGTTCGAAAGGAATACCTTATTCCTTTTTCTGTGCCGATTTCTTTCTCCCCTTCTTTCTCATTTGTATGATTTTCTTGTCATCATCAAATAATGGTCGAATGTCATTTTATAAGGAAAGGCACGGTAGTTAAGCATAGTTTGAATTCAAAAATCAAACTTTGTGAAGGCAGTTTCTTTGTCTTGGTTTAAACGAAGATAAATGTTAACTGTCTTGTGGCAATTTTATTGGTCGGGTTCCACCCTATTATGTGTGAATCCTAATAGGGTGGAACCCTTCCAACAGTTCTTGTCGAAATTATTGGACTAGAACTTTGAAAGAGAGGTATACGATTATTATAGAATTTTATGTCAACTGAAATTGATTGAGCATATAATGAAGTAATTTTGTAGAACTTCTATATATATTTTTTAGTGTTATAATTAAAAAAATTAAGACAAATAAACCGTTGACAATTTTAATTTTTAATACACTTAAAATTTCAACGCATTATCAAACACAGCTTTAGCGAAAATTTTGTTGAATCTGATTTAAAATTTTCTATATAGTTAGCCAGTGAATTACACTAGTGATCCTTAAAATTTGAAGAGCGTACCATTTTGATTCATACAAGTTAAATAATAAATTATTGATTCTACACTTCCAAGTCCAACATCATAATGAAAAGATGCTTATAGTAGTGTTTCTTTTTAACATAATTTTTCCCGTGAGAAAATGATCCAAGGATCATGTGGATCGAGAGATGATTGACCTCTCCTGACCCAACGCAGAAAATTTGCATTAGGCCAATATATACAGCAAAAAATTTTTCTATATTGCTGATCACCTGCTATTAGCGAGACATTAAGATAGGCCCTGAAGATGGGTTCACGTTAAACATTAAAGCACAAAAGTTTGCTTCTTCACAAGCAATATTCTAAAGCAAGTATGCATCATTGACCAATAGAACCTTGAAAACCATGCTCTAGATTAAATAAAATCATATCCCACAGAAGCATTCTTGATGTTGCAATAGAAAACTGATTGCAGCAACAACCTCAACCTATATTCTTCAGACGTAGTCACTTACCACTCAAACTTGCACCCAAAGAAAGAACCGTTATTCAAATCAAATAAAGACACCAGAATAAAAGAGTCAATTCCGTCAGTCCAAGGAAACATCACAAACCAATTCAAAGTTTAATCCACATGCAACATTGTGATAAGACAAGTTTTCCAATTCCATTAGCGAGAGAATAAAACAAGAGTATTATAAACTTGCATCAGGACAATGGTATACAAAAATAAAGGAACTTAACTCAGGAAGCCTCAGTGAAAAGTTGGGCCACTCCAAACTTCAGCAACAACTTACTCAGAGAATCAGGTGAGCAAACCTGGTACTTTACATTCCCAGAAGGTGTAAGGAAAACCTCAGCCAGTTCAAGCTTCTCTGAAGTAAGGCTAGTGCTGTCCATGGTTTTACTCAGCACCTTCAATGCAAGTTGGACTGCTTCTTCCCGCATGATATCATCCTTGTAATCTTGTTTTAACATTGACTGTGCTGCCTGATTATTGGCACCAATGGCTGCAGCTTTCCATCCACTGTAGTTTCCACTAGGATCACTCATGTAAAGTTGAAAACCATAATTTTTGTCCCACCCTGCAAAAAGAAATGAAACACCAAAGGGGCGGAGACCACCAAACTGTGTATAACCCTGCTTTGTGTCACAAAGAGATTGTACTAACTGTTCAACAGGCATTGGCTCTTGGTAAGCATATGTGTATCTTTGTGCTTGCACCCTAGCATTGTTGATGAGGATGTTTGCATCGGACATTATTCCTGCCACGGCACAAGCAAGATGATCATCAATCTTGTACATCTTCTCCGTAGATGTAGAGGTTTGAAGAAGCTTGGAAGTGACTTTCTTTTCACCAACCAAGACAACACCATCCTTTGCCAATATTCCAATTGCAGAGCCAGCATTTCCAATCGCCTCCATTGCATACTCAACTTGGTAAAGACGACCTTCAGGGGAGAAGATTGTTGTGCGGCTATCATATCTCCGAGACATTTTTGTCACAGCTGATCCACGATTAAAATTAACTAAAAACAGAAAAGGACAAAAGACCCCATCAGATATCAATGTTAACAGAAAATAGACAAAAAGACAGAACACTAGGAGCGTAATTAAAAAAGAAAGGTGAGAAAAATAAATTTAAAAAAATGAATAAGAGATTAATAATACATTGGAGCAAAGGACAATAAGCCAAGGTTTTCAAGTAATAGTGAAAATAGTTTTTCCTTTTTATCCAATCAAATACATTTTTATCATGGTAATTTCTTTTTCGCAGAGAGTGAACAGAGAAGATAATACACTTTATGCAGCAAACACCACTAATGCAGCAAACATCACTAATGCAGCATCCACATTTCTATTTTGTGCATCAAGAATTCAAGATGCATGTGATGAAAAGAAGTGAAATGTGTAAATCATGCAAAGGACATGCCAGAATAGCATCAAAGAGAGAGGAGAGAAATTCAATGACTTTCCAAACTCAATGTGCATGTGTGTGCAACTAAAAGCAATCTTATATTTATTATAAATTCTTTCTCTACCATTTTTGTTAGTTGGGATCTGATAGCTAATCCAACCCCACTCCTTAAGGAGTTAAGGCCCAATGCACTAAACCAGAGGCTTTGAACACCAGCAGTTCTGAGTAGCACCTCCTCATTCCAAATCAAATAAACATTAAATAAACTCAATAGTTTGAAACCTGAAATTTCACTCATCATCATCAAGCACATTTAGTTTCTACCTATGTTTTAAAAATGAAAGTGTAAAGCAAGGCGTTTTATCCCTCACAAGGCCAAACTTTTAATTTTTAATTAAAATTTAAGTAATTGCAAATCATTCCTGTCACACAAAGTACCATGAAAAAATTTTATAAAATAAACAACTTCTATAAAAATTAGAAATACTAAAAATAATTTATAAATAATAAAGTTATAAAGATACAAGAATAAAAAAAATGTAGTTTTGATCCAAATTGGAACTGAGGTAAATCATAGGTTGTGCCTTCTCTTAGAAAAGATGTTGATCCAGATATTGGAAATGACATCTAATTTAACATCTTTTATGTTTGGGTTTTAGCAGCAAAATAATACAAATATTTGTCATATATAACATTTTTCCTAAGCTTCAAGGCAATTTTGTGTTTGCCTTTGCTTCAAGGCGCATTACAAGGTGCACCCTGAAGTCATTATTTAAAACATAGCTTCCAACTAGCATTTTTCTGTTTCCTTAAATTTACAATTTAAGGTTATAAATGTTATTGGAATTTATAATAATTTTGCCTTTTTTTGTTTTTGTTTTTTATTTTCCCTTCACTTGGGAAAGGTATCATTCCTTCAGCACATTGCAACCAATCTTGGAACAACTTTTCCCAAGTGGAAGTGTCTAGGGGGATAAGCTTAAAATCATAAATGATGTGACTATTTTTTTCTTTCTAATATTTTCTCCTAAAATTTTTGGTTGAAAATTTATGACTCAGTTATAAAGGCATATGGCAAGTAGGACTATGAAAAGTATAGGATAAAATAAAACAAGAAAGTCAATTGCATTAAATAATATCATCCTATCTTATATTAGCGTATGCAAAGATTAAGATAATATAGCATGAATTTTATCCTACATCATGTTTGGTGTGTGCAAGATGAAAGGGTAGGATAGGATGAATTATTTCATTGGTCAATATTACCCTTCCTTAGAGTAGAAATGATTAAATTTAGGATAAACCCACCTATATGCTTGTGGTTTATACCATTCATAGCGGCCTTCGTACTTTTTTTCTTAGACAATCCGTTGTGGTAAAGTTCCATTTCCAGAAAGGTTACATTATTGAATTCTGGTAAAATTACCAAAAAAAAAAACCCTTAAATGTAAACAAATAAAGTAATTTTTAATTACGGGTAATTTGGTAATTTTACCAGATGAAATTAACAGTGTAAGAGCAGAACTTTACCATAAGGGGTTATCTACGAAAATTAAAAGTATAGGAGTGCAATGTGAGAATGGTCCAAACCACAAGGGGTGTAAGTGGAGTTTACCCTTAAATTTATAATTTATTGTTATAAATATTATTTAAATTTGTAATAATTTTTATGGTTAAGAGCTGGATTATTTTTTCAAGAATATTATACTATTTTATCAAAAATATATTTTCTCTCCATTTTCCCCTTATTCTTTTTCTTTCTATTCTTCTAATCTTTTTCCTTTTTCCTTTCTTTTGTTTCCTTCTACTAACAGCATGGACCAAAACCAGATGGGGAATGATTATTATCCTATCCTACCCATCATCTTGCACACCAAACAAATCTTAAGGGGATGATGTTGCACAACAATGAATGAAATCTACGACAAGGATAGCATGGAAACTTGTTTGGTTTGGTTTGCCGTGGTTACCAAGGGAAATAAAATTAAAGAGTCATTAGTAAGGTTCTGAAAGTTCAAACTGAACACCAACTTTAACTCTTTAAAAACTGAACCCAACCAAACCTAATGATCTAGTTTGGCAGCACACACACGTAAGTAGATGATATTGCATAATAATCAATGAAATCTGTGACAAGGAGAGCATGGAAGCTTGTCTGGTTTGGTTATCAGGGGGAATAAATTAAACAAATATTAGTGAGTTTCAGAAAATTCAAACTGAACACCAACAGAAACCCTTGAAAAACTGAACCCAACCAAACCTAATGTTCTAGTTGGATTCTCAGCTTCGACTTTCAATAAGCAAGAGAATTTTTTCTGACAAAATAAAATATTAGAAAAGGGACGAGTTGCTAACTGACTTCACAGAAAAAGCGAGAAATTGAAGAGAATAAATAATATCATTAAGCCTTTAGTCTAGGTTTTTTCTTACAGGCCAAAACATATGTATTTTTTTGACCAAAAAAAATGGAGAGAGAGGTGGATAGAAGGCAATGTGACCAAGGAGAAAACATAACATAATCTTTTGAATGTTAATTTCCACTCTTGGAGGATCTGACTCCCCTCCCCCTACACAAAATGTCTAATGTATTTGGTTACAATATGATAACATCTAGTCTCAAGACCATCACAAATACTCAAAGTCAACCCTAAAATATAGCGAACATTGTTCTAATAAAAATATGAGGTAAAAGAGTAGTTAATATATAAAATTGCCCTCAAAACGAATTGAACTTCGATACATGTTTGCAGAACAAATTTTTGCAATCCCTTAATTATCATAATAAATTTTTTAGAGCCTATATGCTCTACAAACAAATAGATGGCCCTCCCCATTCAGTTTCATATTATCATACACATTATACACATGAACGCAGATCAATTAGTACCAAACCACAACTAGGGCTTTGCTCAAAGTGTGTAACCAACCCAACTCTATAGACAATCAAATCAAGAGTGACCATGCTTTTTTTCAGAAAAATCAAATTCTGAAATTACTGAAAAAGAGCAAAGCAATCAAAGGTAGTAAAATCTAAAAAAAAAAAAAAAAGAAACAAAGATGTAAAAGGTACAGGTTCGTTTCAGTACAAACCTACTCCTAAGGAACCCGAAAGGGTGCAAAAAAACCCAAAATATTATTAGTCCAAAAGCATACTAGAAAACCCTAATCTTCCTAGTCTCCTTCAATTTTTCCCCCATTCCTTAATTATACTCATTAATTATCTCAAAATTAAACGTTAGAATAAATCTGATGCAGGAACCAGGAAGTTTCCAAGCATGTATTGGATCACAAATTTAGATAAATGAAAACCAATTTTTACGTCGGAAGCCGCCATGGATATAAAGATAGTGTAAAAACTCATCCAGTGGACGATTCCTTAAATTTAAAAGAGATTCAAGCTTCCATCATAAATACAGACAAACCAAGAATATGGATAAAGAAATCAAACAAACTGAAGAATAAACAAAGGTACTCACCTCAGGCTTTTGGCTTTCCCACCTGTAGAGCAAGAGAGAGAGAGAGAGAGAGAAATCTCTTCAAAATTGAGAGCCCGGTGAGTGTTTATTTCGTGAAAACTTGCGCGAAGGGCAAGAGACTTGACGCAGCAGACAGCATTGTAGCGGTGGGCTGGCCCAACTTTGGTCAGGGTTGGGGGCGTCCTTTCAGCCATCACCCTTTCTAGCCCACCCCTTAAAATATTATTTTATTAATAAATAATTGAATTTATTTATTTTAATTTGAAATTATTTTCAATATACTCAAATATTTATATTAATATAAAAATATTTTAACACTTTACTAATAAATATCATGTAAATGGACAGATTGGGCCACGCCAGAGCCATTAAAATCTTTTACTTTAAAAAATCATATTTAAGGTTTAGCATATAAAAAATTTAGATCTATTCACGATTTAAATTAGAATAAATTTTTTTAAAATTTGAATTAAATTCTATTTAAAATATTATTTAATTAATAAAAATTATTTTTAGATTTTTCAGGTTCGATGAGTCAAATCTTGAATAGGATTTTTAAGAGGCCAACATGTTTAGGAAAAAAAATCCATTTTTTTAATTTTAATTATTTTTTATTAATCTACTTCAATATTTTTAATTTAATAAAAATTTTTATTTTTATAAAATCAAAAATCAAATTTATGAAATTTTTTAAAATTAAAATTTTTAAAAATAATAAAATTACTAAGTTCGATGATGTTATTAGCCACAGCAATTCAAGCTACAAGATAAATCAATAAAAAAATCTCTTACACTGTTTGTAAAATTTAAAAATTTTACAAATAAAATTAAAAATTAATAAATATCTTTGTTAAGATTTTTAAAATATTGAAAAATATAATATAAAAAAAAACACTTGATAATTTTTAACTTTAATTGTAACGTGTAAAAACTTTTACCAATGATACATAAAATGATAATTAAAAAATTATTTTTTTGGCTGAAAAAAAATTTGCTCAAATAACCAAGCAACAAAAGAAAATAAAAATATCGGTTAAATTTATTATTATCTTTTTCTTCTGTGTATATGATCAATCACTTTTATATTGTACTAAAATATTGCCCCATGCTTCTCGCATGCAGACATTTTTTTTTAATATTTATAAATTTTTAATTTAATTAAAATTAAAAAATGAATTTAAGTTTAACAATAATAATAATAATTTTTGTTATTTTTAATAACTACAACATCTTACATGGATACTAATAAAAATAAGAAAAGCCAAAACTTAAAAAAAAAAAAATCCTACGAGGATAATTTATTCACCACAAGTTACCTTGATATGCTTAATTTGATTCTAAACAAAATAATTACATTTAAAAATAAAAATAAGAAGAGAGAAAAAAAAAAAAAAAAAAAGAACTATATACATGAAAGATAAAAATTAGTAGAGATCACTACTGATTTTAAAAGGATTAATCTATGGTTAAAATTAGCCTATATCACCTTTTTCTTATTTTTGTCAAAAACATTTAAGTTTTACTAAAACACAACTTTTCACTAACGTCTTCCTCATCCTTTCACTCAATTCATTATTTGTCTTCTTGTTTTGCTTTATTTCCCGACAATTCCAGCAACTCGATATATATATCCATAAGCCAGAACTATAGCATGAGAATTCCAACATTCAACAAACATTAACTTTTATAATTAAAGCCTTGACAGACTTTGCATAGAAAAGAATGGGTTCTTATAGCTAGATTGATTTTGTTAAGATCCTACAAAACTCATAATTTATTTCCAAAAGGAATTAATGATAAATCTAAACTGTCATTGTAGTTTTTAAACTTTAAATTGTTAGCGCAAAAATTAAAAATCTAAAATTTTTGCTTATGAAATTTTGAAGAGAGGTTTCAAGAAGTGTAAAAGTATTTTTTTTTAAATTTTTATATACTTCCATCGTATTATTTATTTAATAGATATGTAAAAAGATTGCAAACGATAAATCTTGAAATTATAATGAAGTCCAATAACTGATTAAGTTTTATAATAACGAAATCAATCCACTGAGTATTTATCAACGTATTACAAAATTACCAAACTTTTATAAAAATTTTTGCAGCAAAACTTTATAAAAAAAAAGTCTGAGAGTTTATTGAAGAAAGAGGAAGGGTTATGAAAATTGTTTTTGTAACTTTTTCAGAAAATCAAATAAGTTTATATAATTTAAGTGCATTTTTATTTTACATACATAATTGTTCATTTTGAGTAGACAAAAATTGTCTAGTATTTGAACAATTAAAAATTGTTTGTCTAAATAGACTAATCTATCTTATTTTATAAAAATTTAATTATCTGTCCTTATTTATCTATTTATTTTAGATAGATTTAATTTATCAAATATTAAAATTAAAATTAAAAACTTTAAATAAAATAATATTTTATTAACTGCACTATGTGCCAAGTGTGTGTCCACATGTCAAAGTGCCATTAATTAAATATTAATATATACTAATATATTTAATTAATGCAAGATCAATCAAGTTTGAAAAACCAATCTAATGGAGTAAGGTAAACTTTTACTCTTCTTGATTTAAATGATTTTTTTTTTTTTCAATGTACAAATTATTTGACATATTTTACATTAAAAATCTCTAAGATAAAGATAGTGTCTTTGCAGTTTCTATGCATCTCAAGACCATGAAAGCAATCTCAGTAGCAAGACAAAGCAAACAAATAAGAATCCAATATTTCGGCCTTCGCAATCTCAAGGCATGGGCCAAAAGGGAAGCAAAATAGGCATCGTGTAGACAACATTATTATGGTCTTTCTATTAATTACAAAACTAGTTTTAATTCCACTGCCTTGCACAGGTGATATTTTATGTTTATATTATTAATTTTTTATATAATTGAAAAATATAAAATCATGTATTTTAAAAAAATGTAACATTTTAACTTTAAAAGTTTTTTATCTGCTCAATAAAAAGATATATGCTTTTTATACATTGAGTGATAAATAGAATAATATTTATATATTTTATTTTAGAATTGTTAATAGCCTTTCGTTTAATATCTTAGAAAAAAGTTGTTTAATCTAGTTAATATCTTATGACTATAATTTTAGGTTTGTCACCTAAGTTATTTTTCTTTTATAATACGACACAAAAATTAATTAAGTGCTTTAATAATAAAATCGTTTATCTTTAAATAGTTGAATGTACTAAAAACTAAAATTGATTACTAAAATAGCTAATAAATTTTTTTATTATTATTTTAGTATATAATTATTTTTTACTGAAAATAAAATAAATTCTTGTCTATTGGTTATTACATACATTAACACGAGACAGATGAAAAATATACAGAAAATAAAAGTGGCTCAATGAAAAGAATATCAAACACAAATAAACAAAAAAAAAAAAAAAAAAAGCAAAAAGAGGGTACAATATATTATTATTATATATTATATATATATATTATACTTTACTTCTCCACATTCTATTCGCATTGTATTCTTGAGAAATATTTTTTTTAAATATCTCTTTCTTCAATTAGTTGTCCCTTACAGTTTAAAAAAAAAAAAAAAACTTTTGTCTCTTTTTCGCCGTTTTTCGTGATGAATTGTAAAATAACCAAAAAAATAAATTTGCTTAAGTACCATATGATCATTATTAACAAAACAATATTATACTTGTTTATAGAAAATGGTAAAGCTATAATATCAATGTTATAAACTCACTTGTTTAACTTTGTATGAAAAAAATTTGTTAAGCTAAAGATACACATTGAAGTAGGAACATAATGCTTACAACTTAGGAAGTAATTAATATTTAATTGAATTTAATGCAGAAAAATCTGGATATTTTGATAAATTTCTTAGTAAGAACCAAAACTTATGGCCTAAAATGAGGCTATCAAACAAATCAATATTGGACCTCTTGTTTCCTTTATTAATGTTGGCACATGAAATTAATAATCAATTGTAACTTATACATAGGCAAGAACAATATATATTTAAAAAAAAAAAAAGAGTAAATACTTTTCCTATATTCATAATTTGAAAGAGAACCTTCAACTTAAAGATTTCTCTTTTATGAAGGTTCAATTTAAAAGTTTCAATTTTTTATTAAAGGTCAGGTAATATTTTATGTTTATGACACATGTGAAAATTATACATATATCTTAAGTACAATAAGTTCACACATTTACTAAAAATATTAAATAGTTTTATTCACTTGAAATCCCTAAATGAAATGGCATATTAACTTGAATCTTTTGCATCATCTTCTCTTATTTTATATACAAGTATATTTTTTATAAGACAATATATAGATAAATTGAATTAGAATATAAAAAGTTGACTAATAATCAAGTTTAGAGTGATTTATGGAAGATTATTATAATGAAGACATATTTCAGTAAAAATTTTGAATTGATTGGTTATTCCACTATATTCAATTTTAAAGTTTGGAAAGTATAATATAAATTAAAAGTGTTAAAATTTTAAGGAAATCATAATGGAACACAATTTACTTATGAAAATGGAAGGAGGATTTCGAAATTAATGTAATGTTGACAATATATTATGTACAATTAATTTAATCTTTTTATACAAAATTAAATTTTTATATTTATTTTTTGTAATAAATTAAATTTTTATAGACATGTGAGGTAAGTTAATTGACAATGTAAAAAGAAATAAATTTAATATAACATATTTTAAATTTAAGCCAAATCAAGTGAAAATAATTAAATATAAAACATGTGACATGTGTTCAAGACTATGCACGTGTCAAAAGAATACGGTATCGATATTTTTTTGTCAAAAATTTTATTTTTATATATTTATATAAGATACAAGATGAATTACTATTTTGTACTATGGTAGTTTCCACTTTTTCTTTTTTTTTTTTTTAATTTGTAGAGTATCAGACAAACTCCAAAAGAAAATAGAGCAAAAGGGGAAGACAAACAGGGAAATTTATGAAAATATTTTTATAATAGTAAAATATTAATTGATTAAGTACGATTACCTAATCAATTGTAGAGAAACTAAATAAAACAAAGCTAAGAATCAAGTTTTAACAAAAAGCAATCGATTACCGATTCGACTACTCATGACTTCTAGGAAATAGAAAAAGC